AACAAAATTTCCAAACTAATCAAAATCCAAATTAACTCCCTGAAAAACGAAAAGTGGTCCGAATTCTTGGAAAACATCCCAACTGGCGACGCTGACCCCTGGAAAGTCTCCAAGGCCTTGAGAGAAACAACAAAAACCTTCTTTCCCCCCATACATGGCGAGAGGGGACTGGTTTATACGGACGAGGAAAAAGCAGAAGCTTTTGCCGACTCCCTAGAACGCCAGTTCTCGCCCAACATGTCCCTGACTGACGACCTTGATTTCGAGGAGGAGGTTGAAAACATCCTCCAAGAAATCAAGCACAGACAAACTCCCCGGCCATACCCCCAGTAACGCTCCCCGAACTCAAAGCCCAAATCACCGCCCTCAAAACCCGCAAAAGCCCTGGTCCCGACCAAATTTCCAACAAAACCCTCAAACTCCTCCCAAAAAACCTCCTTAACCAACTCCTCACCCTAATCAATGCCTCCTTCACCTAAAAGCCTAAAGTAAATTTCCCCGTTAGTTTCAAAAGCCACAAAACCGCCCAAAACAACGACCACAAACACAACACACCTCCGCTGAAAAGCAAACCCCCCAACACCCTCACACAGGTATCCTCGAGGTACCAGCACAAAAGACTCAAGGCCTTAAATGGCTAAGTCTGTTAAACATCCACGCACAGTGGTTGAACCAGTTTTTGTCGGAAAGCACGGGAGATCACTTTGCCCACGCCTCATCGCATTTGATAATGTCCACCACAGTTGTGGACGAAACGTTAAGAAGAAATTCCGATGGACCACGGCTTCAAAGCCCGAAAAACATTTCTAAATGTGATTTGACCGGCCGTGAAAGCCTTCACAGTCTTAATTTCAACTCTTTTAGATGCTGTTAGTTTTTAAGCACTTCAATTCCGTTTCAGCCAACCGACAATGCCAGGAATGCGATCGAAACCCTGCTGCTCATCCTGCCATCGTTCTTCTTCATGGTGATAGCCGTCCTGTTGTCGTCGCTTCTACACCAGTCCAAGACATGGGCCTTCGTGCTGGAATTCCTCATAATCGTCGTTCCGGTAGTTCTAAACGTAACCGTTTTCTCCCAATATGTAACCAGCGTAGTAATAATAACTGGTTTTCTTATCGGCATGCATTTACTAATCTATTTGCTAGTTGTGTTTTTGAAGCAGCAGAAAACCGCCAAACGGGCTACCCCAATCAACCCGACCAAGAAGGATTACATTACTAATTGTCGTGCCACCATCAACCTGCTCTCAGTGATTGCCATACTAGCGGTCGATTTCACAATTTTTCCTGCGCGATTTTCCAAAACCTTAACAACCGGGTTTAGTCTTATGGATGTCGGAGTTGGGCTGTTTGTGTTTGCAAACGGCATTGTTGCCCCTGAGGTCAGGGGCAAAAGAGACTCAATTGGCAGCTCGATTCGCGGCTCCTTATGCCTTTTAGTTATAGGAATACTCCGGTTAGTCTTAACCAAACTCACTCACTACAATGTATCCGAAAGCGAGTATGGCGTGCACTGGAACTTTTTCATCACACTGGCTTTCACAAAAATATTTTCTTCGTGTGTCCTAAACATTGTTAAGCCAAAGTATGTGCTAATTAACGCCACGTTAATCCTCATTGCCCATGAGACTTTATTGCAGCTCTCTTTCAAAACCTGGATATTCAATCATTTTGAAAGACACTCATTTACCGATGCGAACAAAGAAGGCCTGGTATCCGCTATCGGGTATTTAGCGCTTTATTTGTACTCCGTGTACTTTGGCTATAGCATCAAGCAAACCGAGAAAAGCTACAGAATTACCAATGGAAAGTTCTTCGTCATTACTATGACAAGTTTGTTGATGACCATTTTTTGCAATTATCACTTTGAAGTGTCGAGGCGACTGGCCAATGCTGGATATGTCTTTTGGGTGCTCTTTATAGGCATTTTCATGACGTGGCTCTTTTATTTGGCCGAAAATGCACAGAAACATATCTTTGAGGGCATCACCAAACATTATTTATGTTCACCTTACATCTACGAGGCCATCAACTATAATGGCCTGATCTTTTTCATCATTGGCAACCTTCTAACCGGTTTAGTCAACTTATCGATATCCACCAAACAAGTAGAGGCTCCGACCTCTCTTCTTATATTGTTTTTGTATATGTTTATTAATTGCACCGCGGTTTTTCTATTTTATGTTAAAAATTGGAAACTCAAACTTTAAAACTTGTTTGTTTTACTTTATTACCTTAAAGTATGAGTTTTCTTTTTTTGAAAGCTTTAAGTTGGACTAACATGGTACAAAATAGGAGCTTTAGACAGAGTCTATTTACACAAAGTTTTTATATTAATTGATACACTGCAGRGTTTTGCCGAAGAGCATTTACCTTCGGCAATTTAGCTATTTAGGGAATTGAAATGCTGTAGTATCGAAAAAATCGAGCTGAAATCGCCCCTTTGTCACGCTGTAGTAGAAACCCAACCAGYAGCAAACCCGATAATCACGTGATAGTGTATGTTGAAGTGACTTGATATCGACGTGATTATCACGACAGAAAGTCACATTGAAATGACGTCGATAAAAGACGTGCACTCACGTCATACACCATTCAAAATGTAACTTTTTGTATTTTGCCTCGATTTTCAAAGATTTTTACAATAAAAATCTACGATTTTTTAATTTTTTTGGATCATTGATAAAACGTCTACAACTACAAGGTGCCAGGAAATGTTAATTTAGGCTATAACCTCAAGTTTACCCTCGTTTTTTAAATGATTTTGTTTATAAAACGCTCTTAAACCAAATAAAGAAAAAAGTTTTTTTTTTCGTTTTTTTTGTATTTTCTTAATCATAAGTGAAAGGAGTGCGTTTACAAGATGTTCGTATTTGATCAATCGAGTGTTATTTTAAGAGAACAAAGGGCGTAGATAAAGGTTTCTTGAAAAACGCCTAGGGGAGCATTGGGCCCCTTAAAACGTTTGCGCTTTTAAATACCCTGTTTTTCCTTATTTCTATACCATATTTGCCCCCGCTATATGAATTTCTTAAAAAACGCCGTTAATGTTAATGTTAAGATAAGACGATGGTTGCACAGCGCAGCGTGTCTATGTGTTAAGCGCAGTAAAGTGCTGTATTTTAGACAATTTTGAGCTCTTTCCAAACAGGTTTGGAAGGTTCAACTGCAGTGTTTTGTTAGACAGCGCCAGAAGCTATTAACTAAAGATGATGGWTTTTGGAGCGCAGCAGCTCTATTTTTTSGCCAATTTTGAAAAATACAGGTTCGTATTTTAGGCAAGTTTCAGCTCTTGACAATGAGGTCTTCAATGTTCAACTGCCGTGTTTTGTTAGAGAGCGCTGGAAGCTATTAACTAAAGATGATGTTTTTTGGAGCGCAGGGGCTCTATTTTTTGGCCAATTTTGAAAAATAGAGGTTTGTATTTTAGGCAAGTTTCAGCTCTTGACAATGAGGTTTTCAATGTTCAACTGCTGTGTTTTGTTATACAGCGCCAAGGAGCGCAACGGCTTTGTTCTTTCCGAATTTGTCTATGCTACCATCTTCTCAGGAAGATTAAATCTTTGGAAGAAGTTTCAATCTTTCTTCGCGGATGGCATGGTGGATGTTAACTTAAGAAATTGGCTTTTGCCGCGCAGCTCTCCTGTTTTTTGACCGATTTTCAGGATTAAAATGCAGTTTATTAGACTCTTAACGACTCTCACGACGTCGTGATTTCTCAGAGAGCTCCAGACGATGTTAACTTAATTTTTTGAGTGATTTGTAAATCTATGTGCTGTGTTTTAGTTAATTTCATTAACTCATCAATCAATTAACATCAATTTATTTTTAATGAAGTTTTGATGGTTCCATTTGTATGTTTTATTAGAGAGTGCCAGTAGATCTTACTGTGTCATGGGGAACATTAATTATGAAATAAAACAAAAAATGCGCCGAAGAGTTATAAATATATTTACAATATAATACATATAAAACATTCGTATTAAAAAAACCTTGTAAATTAAAACCAAATTGAGCAAAAGTTAATGTAAGAAACATCATTTGCTCAGGAAAATAGCAAAGGATGTCTAGAGGAAAAGCGCGCCTATTAAAAAAATTGAAAAATTGTGTTTTGAGTCAAACAATCAAAACTTCTTTTTTAACATCGAAAACTTAGTGCTCTACAGGGCGACCTCAATAATCCGGATTAATTAAAGCCGCCTTGAGCCGGACTAATAAATAATTCGGATTACTGAAGCAAAACAGTTAGTAAGTTAAATTCCGTCAGTTTTGAACTTACTACTTACTCTGAACAGTAAAATCTATTAACTAATGTTTTTGAGGAATTTTTCAGATTGAACCCAAACAAAAAAAACCAGCGATCTTCATATTGTAGTAATTAAAATTTATATAAAAGACAGAATCACTCTTTTTTTAAGTGTTTTCACAGGCCACTTCTTGTAAGCTTTCAGTTGCATTAACCGATAACGTAAAAAGTTTCACTCCTTCTTATGGGCTTTGGCCAAAAACCTTTGGTTTGCGGTAAAAAAACTCCTCACGCGTCAAATTACTAGTTACAGGTACCATTGAGTTGAGAGTCCAGGATTCAGACATTTGTAAGATCATCCATGCTGTGCTAACCGATTGATTAGAGCGGGTTTGATCTTGCCCTGGCTAGTAATAATTCGAACAACGTTCGCTGCTTTTGCGACTTTTAAGCGCGATCTAAACTTATTCGCAAATAAAAAAGTAAATTCATTAAAAATACATATCTCTGGAAGGGCTTAAGATAAACAGATCCGAATTACATCGCATACTTTTTTTCCTCTGCGCTGCCCACAAAAAAGTTCAACAATAAAAATCAACTGCAATAATGTGCAATAAAAAAGCACAGTAATAAATAAAGAATTATGTAATAATAGACTTGAATTAATTCTAAGTTATTAAATTTGAAAGGAGCTCATTCAATTCAGTTCTAAAATATTGTTGAATAAAATTTGTCGTAAAGTTATACAGTGTTTTCCCTACAAGGGTGGTTCTTCTTTAGGTCCTGATGATGAAACACAAAATCGAAACTTTGCTCATCCATAGAAGGGACGTTGCTCCTTCTGACACGCTGAACCGCAAATGTCTGACTTTGTTGGGTTTTGCGCAATGAATTTTTGAAAATCGGTTTGCACCAGCTTTTGCCTGCATGTGTGACTCAACTTTGAAAAATTCCCATTAAGAGCCTGATGATGGCAGACAAACGAAACGTTCCGCGTCTATAGAACTGTCTTTTCTCTGTTCCCCACAATCAATCGCAAGTTTCCATCTTTCTCGTTTTTGAAGCAGTTTGTTTTTACAAGGCAGTTAGAATCGACTGTTGCCTCCAAGAGCGAGTGCAATTTGAAAAATTCTCATCGCGATCCTGAGGATGAAAACACAAAATCAAAACTTTGCTCATCCATAGAAGGGACTTTGCTCCTTCTGACACGCTGAACAGCAAATGTCTGGCTTTGTTGGGTTTTACGCAATGAATTTTTGAAAATCGGTTTGCACCAGCTGTTGCCTCCATGAGTGACCCAACGTTGAAAAATTCCCATTAAGATCCTGATGATGGCAGACAAACGAAACGTCCCGCGTCCATAGAACTGTCTTCTCTCTGTTCCCCACATTCAATCGCAAGTTTCCGTCTTTCTCGGTTTTGGAGCAGTTTGTTTTTAGAAGTTAGTTAGAATCGACTGTTGCCTCCAAGAGCGAGTGCAATTTGAAAAATTCTCATCGCGGCCCTGATGATGAAAACACAAAATCAAAACTTTGCTCATCCATAGAAGGGGCTTCGCTCCATCTGACACGCTTAACCGCAAATTTCGGGCTTTGTTGGGTTTTACGCAATGAATTTTTGAAAATCGGTTGCCTCCACGAGTGACTCAACTTTGAAAAATTCCCACTCCGATCCTGATGATGACAGACAAACGAAACGTCCCACATTCATAGAACTATCTTCTCTCTGTTCCCCACATTCAATCGCAAGTTTCCATCTTTCTCGGTGTTGGAGGAATTTGTTTTTGAAAGTCAGTTAGATTCGACTCTTGCCTCCAAGAGCGAGTGCAATTTGAAAAATTCTCATCGCGGCCCTGATGATGAAAGCACAAAGTCAAAACTTTGCTCATCCATAGAAGTGGCTTTGCTCCATCGGTCACGCTTAACCGCAAAATCCGGTGATCCGGCTCGAAGGACCAAAACTATGTTCGTGGGCGATTGAGTTGATCAAGTAACACTAGAGGAGTGTTACTCAGCTCAGGACGAATTTTTGCAGCTTGATCGTCGGGTTTTGTACGATTTTTCGGCATCTTCCAAACAAAAACTGTATAAAAATGCTGATCCTGTTATGTTTAAGATGCGTTACAATAAGGGGCACAATGAGGCGCGTATCGCTGTAACACACATTTAAACGACTCAGTGTTACCCAAACGACATACATATGAAAATATCTGGTTTTTTAAACATTCTAATTGATTTCGTCCGATTAATATTTCCAATTGTTAGCCAAAGGACTACTTCAGATCATCCGTTATCCAAAAATATACTGGAAAGACGGAATTTGCGTAAAAAAATTAGCAAAAATTGCAAAATATGAAACTTCTTGAGGGCATGACGCATTAAACACGTGCGTTATTTGCAAACTATACCCGGACGAGCGAAGAATTGATGCGATCAACCCTTTGATCTATCGAAAAAAATGTAACGTTCTTACCTGATTCAGACTTGATTTCTGGGAGATTCAGTCACAGGCAGAGCAGAGCACAGCCACTGATTAATACCGTATTATTTCGCTTAAAACTATGAGCAAACTGATCTGCTCTGAATATCACTATGGGCTTAATGGAGTTAGTTGGTCTAAGGCACGTTAAAGTTCCTCATGCTCAAATTTCCTGCCGGCAGCTATAAACTTCGTATGATTCATGACCAGGCCTGCAGCTTCTTTCAAAAGACCCTTGAACACTCCCACGTCAAACGCGTAATTTTTAAACTTGGCATCCGCTTCACCCGAATTACCCTACAAACGCCCTGTAAGTGATTGTTGCGGGGAAAAAATGAAGACTCACTATCTCTCTATCAGGGAACAGCATCAGTTTGTCCCTCCACGTGATGTAGTTTACGCCCCGAAGACGCGCCAAGTCTGAGTAACAGTTGTGATCTTCACAGTTGTAGCTGCAAGACAAAAAAGCCTGAACTTGGACCTGGGTAAAGTGAGATTTACCGGTAACTTACAGTTCAAAAACAGTGGCCCAATCTGGAAGGAACAACAGATGAGTCAGGCCAGCCCCATGAATGCCCACAAGCACATCAGTGTTGGCGCTGATTTCCAACTGTTGCTTGAAGGGAATATTTGCGTTGAAAACCACCCTTGTGGCCTGATACGCCTCATTCTCATTGATGGCCTCAAAAAGCTCATCTTCATTGAGAATGCGCCTGTACTTAGTGTCGCGACACAACAGAGTCACTCTAATTTTCCTGGGAAGTCTCGGGTAAACCGGCACTTTCAACCGGTGCAAAATGTGCTTGGAAAACGCATGAAACAGCCCACTGTTCCGACATCCCCTGGTCAAAGGCGTGTTGTAATACAGGCCAAAAACCATGCGGGGCAGTAGAGGTAAAATCACATTCTCGAAGCAAACGGTTCTTCCTCGAAAGGTTTTCAGGTCCCACAATGGGTAATCGGTAAAGGCCTCCCATGTGTCTCTGAATGGGGACCTGTAGTCGAAAGTTTCCCAGATCAGCATGTGAACATCGGTGGAAAAAGCGTTATGGCCAAGGTGCTGGTTCATGTGCTGTGACGCATAGAGATTGAAAAAATCGCAAAAGTGGTGGTACATGTTGAAAGCTGCAAGCGTTTACCGTTGAACTTTAATAGGAAACATCTGAACCCTCAACTTACTTGCATCAATCTTCATGAGGTAGGTGGGTTTGGTGATAACGATGTCACACAGTTCGCGAGGAGTTTTCGTCAGTTGAGTAAAATACCTGAGTTCCGGGCCCCAGCTTTGTAAAGCACTAACATGATCTGATCGCTCCAAAAATTCGTCTCTCAGAGGCTCACAATAACCGCCAATGCCACTATCACTTAGCACACTCATGTTGTATCTGAAAGGCTCCTCGACGGAGGACAATTTAGTGAAGTTTAACATTAGTTCTGATCCTGTACAGTATCGCAAGTGATCAGTACAGTGCAGACTACTGCCCCCAGTTTCCGTAAAGGGAGAGCACAATTGCGTTAACTCTGCTAGTTGCTGCTTTATAAATCCGAAATCTCCTTCACGGTAGAATTGTTCGGCGTTATCGCGTTTCTCTTGGCCCCAACCGGTGCACTCTGGAGTAGAATAGCGTCCAGAATTGTTCGTATAGCCCCAGTACTTTTGCGCATTTAATGCCATTTTATACGGACATTTATCGTCTATGTGGCACTGTTGTGCAGCACTTGGAAACGCACTGAAATAATACTGTAGGTGCTCTGAGGGTAGATTGATTTCTGAAAAATCCATCGGAAGCATTGGGGTATAACTTAAGACTTGCTTCGCCCATAAAGTTAGCACTAGTAAAACTAAACGGCTCATTGTCACTCGAATGTTGAAAGAAGCCAGAACAGTCCGTTTCTTCTCCGTTAAAGCTCTGCTATGAGGCACCAGCCCATTAGTGATAGATCCAAAATAATGGGAGTTCTGAAGCACTATAACAATAAAAAAACATGTATTATTTTACAGCTCAACTTCATCAAAAATTCTGCCTTTTTTTAATACGTACATACTTAAACGGAAAGGAGTCTAAATTGTGACGTGCATGCGATTATTCAAAATTTTGCATGTGTAATAATTCATATAGTTTTGTGACTTGTTTTAAACAGCTTTCCCTAAAACCAACGCAAGCTGCCAACTTCTCCAGTCGTACAAAAAAATCACAATTTGCACTCGAATAACCAATTCTTAAGCGGCTTGAGTCGGAAATCAACAAGTGGAAGTCAAATATCACATTTTTTAAGGCTTTTGGGTTCAAATTTGAGAAAGCCACTTTTCTGTAACTCAACTGTCCGTTTCCATTTAAAAATTCTTAACTTTCACTCCACAGAAGGCTTCAAATTGAATCTTGTATATCGTATAGAAGTCACTTGAAATTTTAAACTTTGAAGATTATAATCAAATCGCACTTAAACCAGATTTTTGCGCGCTTCATAAACGCAAATCTAGAAATGGAAGGTTTAACTCAACTGCGCACTAGTATTTAAAAATGCCTAACTCGCTCCACAGAAGGCTGCAACTTGAATCTTGTACATCATATAGAAGAGAAGACACTTGAATTTTTCAACTTTGAAGATTTCAGTCATATCGCACTTAAACTGGATTTTTACGCGTTTCATAAACGCAGATCTAGAAATGGAAGGTTTAACTCAACTGCTCACTAGTATTTAAAAATGCCTAACTTTCGCTCCACAGAAGGCTGCAACTTGAATCTTGTACATCGTATAGAAGACACTTGAATTTTTAAACTTTGAAGATTTCAGTCAAATCGCACTTAAACCGGATTTTTACGCGCTTCATAAACGCAGATCTAGAAATGGAAGGTTTAACTCAACTGCTCACTAGTATTTAAAAATTCTTAACTTTCGCTACACAGAAGGCTTCAAATTGAATCCTGTACATCGTATAGAAGACACTTGAATTTTTAAACTTTGAAGATTTCAATCAAATCGCACTTAAACCGGATTTTTGCGCGCTTCATAAACGCAGATCTAGAAATGGAAGATTTAACTCAAYTGCTCACTAGTATTTAAAAATTCCTAACTTTCGCTCCACAGAAGGCTTCAAGTTGAATCTTGTACATCGTATAGAAGACACTTGAATTTTTAAACTTTGAAGATTTAAATCAAATCGCACTTAAACCGGATTTTTGCGCGCTTCATAAACGCAGGTCTAGAAATGGAAGGTTAAAATCAACTGCCCGTTTCCATTTAAAAATTCTTAACTTTCACTCCACAGGCTTCAAATTGAATCTTGCATATCGTATAGAAGACACTTGAATTTTTAAACAGAAGATTTCAATCAATTCGCACTTAAACCGGATTTTTGGACGCTTCATAAACGCAGATTTGGAAATGGAAGGTTTAACTCAACTGCTCACTAGTATTTAAAAATTCCTAAGTTTCGCTCCACAGAAGGCTGCAACTTGAATCTTGTACATCATATAGAAGACACTTACATTTTTCAACCTTGAAGATTTCAGTCAAATCGCACTTAAACCGGATTTTTACTCGCTTCATAAACGCAGATCTAGAAATGGAAGATTTAACTCAACTAAGTACTCACTATTATTTAAAAATTCTTAACTTTCGCTCCACAGAAGGCTTCAAGTTGAATCTTGTACATCATATAGAAGACACTTTAATTTTTAAACTTTGAATATTTTAATCAAATCGCACTCAAAACTTGATTCATTCTTGAAGGCTTATTGAATTCAAATTTGCAAAAGCCGCTTGTTATCTATTTTTGGCTATTTTCGGAAACCCATCGAGCACGTGACTGATTTTTGTGGCACAATCGGGAGGTTTACAGTGGTTTTGTGCCCAAATCCGTGTCGTGCATAATCGCCACAACTTCGACATTAAGCACTCTAAAGCGATTGTTGAGCCCTTAGGGTAGGTAAGACACTGGCTTTGTGCTGGTTGCAGCGTAAACACATTCAAAACCTACCGATTGGTTGTGTCGAAAAATAAGTGTCGTGTCCGAAGGACTCGGCACAACTTAACACTCTGGGTGGTTGAGAATGATCTACAACAGGGTTTTGCAAGCTTTTTCGATAATGAAAAACTTTGCAAGTTCATAAGCTTTAACAGGACAGTTGGTTTACTTTTAAGTTGATTTCTACTGATTTCTACATCTAAAAAAAGGTTATCCAATCCAAGCACTTTCAATGCTCCTTAGAAAACGCCTTCCAAACGAGCAACACCTTAGAAAAGCACAATCAATATTTCCTATTGGCCAGCAGTATGCCGCGATTTATCACCCATTGATTGTAGTTGGGGCCCGATTTAACCAACCGCCCACAGACTATTGCATAACAAGGAAAAGGGGCCTGTGTGAAAAGATGATTCATTTCACATATATAATATAATCCTGCTAGTCCGAATAAGTAAAATAACTTGTTTGAGCAGAGTTGTATGATTAAAGGTGCCAGGGTTTTGAATTGGAGAAAACCTCCATTTCCAGATTATTTCCAGGGAGTTTCTATAGCAGCAGCATCTAATTGCAGTGGTTCTTAAGCTACTTTTCTACTAGTTCATGTTCAGCGGCACACTGGTGTTCCACGAACGAGAATGAAGCAAAATAATAAAATAGATGGAAATTAAAAGCTAAAACCATATCAACACTCAACAGGCAACTAAACGCAAGCAATAAGAGCAAATCTAAGAAAATTAAAAGAAAACAAGCAAAGTAAGGCTCTTACCGGAAACCTAATATTCAGCACTCGTCACTAAAACATACACTGGCTAATTAAATACACTTGAATTCAGCAAAACATGCAAAAAACAGGAGATTTTACTATTTTGCCTGTGGAAAAGTTGGGTTATGTCTGAGTGAAGTATAAAAAAGTTCTGTTTTCACAGACGGTAGTCATGGCAACGCTTGTGAAGAAGCGGATTCAGGTCCTAACCTTCAATATTTGTTGATCTGTATTTATAAAAGTCTAAAATTGTTTAAAATATATTTTTCGTTAAAAATACAAATGACCGGGTTTTTAATTCAGTCGTTGGCAGTTCGAAGTCTGGTGCAATGCCCAAGTAGGGCGCAGTAAGTTCAACCTAAATATAGCTTTTTTTTCGATTTTTAAGATTTAAAACAGTTTAAAGTACTAAATATTTAGCAGTCGCGTTGTAATGATGAAATGAACACGCGAGGTACGAACCAGGCGAGTAAAGTTGATCAGTCGAATAATCTACCGACTCACACTGCCACTGAGTTATTATTTAATCTGCCGCAATTTACCGCACACCACCCCGCATCGTCCTTGTCCTGTTAAAACAAAGCTTTGATTTTAGTGGAGTTTTCACTGCATTTACCCTAGCGCGCATATCACAGAGCCTTTTTCTTTTTTCGCTCTTGTTCGCCCACTCCTGGACATAGTCCTCTTCCAACGACTTCCATGTCGATCTATCTTCGCGGTCTTTATCCAATTCTGTCCCGCATGTGACTTGATGTCTCTCCATGTTGCCTGCGGACGCCCTATGCTTCTTTTTTTTATTTCTCTTGATCCCATTGCATTAGTGTTTTCGTCCATTTGGAGGTTTTGCTGTCCAGGTGTCCCTTCTTTTGTGTTTGCCCGACAGCTGGAGGAATAAAAATCTTCGCGAAGACACCCGGTGTTCCGAACCCTGGGTAGTGTTGGATTCTTACCAACACCCCCTTTTTGTACTACAAGTTTTCGGGAGTTATCCTTTAAAACTTCTAGTTCTCTAAGAATTTGTCAGCTCCGGCTCCGGCATCCGTATATCGCATTCTCTCCATGCTAGCTGCTTGCTAGCATGGGCATCTTATTAATTTAACGCCTTACTTATACATATATGCGACTTACTACAAACACTACGTTATTAGCACACCTACAGCTTACGCCGTCTCCTACCGGTTGCCCTAGTGGGCTAGTTGGTGTCTGGGCCTTTTTTTTCTGGGTCCCAGATCTCCAGGAGTGTAACTAACAAGGTTTCGCTGCTCTTCGTTGGAGTGCCTTCCAGCTTTCTCGAAGTCTGCTTTCGCTTTCCTTGCGAGAAACTCTCTTAGTGGCTCCCACTCTAGGTCCCTGTAGATTTGGGAGTTTTTAACAAGCCAGGGCGCATCTATGGCCATCCGCAGAAGTTTGTTTTCTGTGGCCTGAAGTCTATTCAAGTGACACTCGGCCGCATATCCCCACGCAGTGGAGGCATACGCCAGTGTGTCGGCCTGATTATGGTCTTGATGTTGAGTAGCTTGTTCCTAATACTCATCTGGCTTCTTTGATTGAGGAAGGGGTGCAACTTGGCAGTTGTTGCCTTAACATTGTCGGTGGCTGTTTTTATGTGCTTCTTCCAGGTCAGCTGCTTTTCTAAAACAGCAGCCAAGTATTTAGTATCTCTTTCCCAATCGATGTTTTGTTCCTCTATGGTAATGTTGCCATCGACACTGTACTGCTTCCTGCCAATAAGTATGGTCTGGCTCTTCTCTGCATTTATCTTCAGCTTCCACTTGATGAACCACTGATGTAGTTCGTCAATTGCAAGCTGGAGCTGTTGCCTGCTGCAGTCCTTGCGCCATGAAAATGGCCTTAATCAAGTTAGCTAGAGCTACCAGTTTCTCGGCAGGTTCTTCAGCATTTTGTTGGTGATTTTTCTTTACCTTTTCCAAACTTGGCGCTGAAATCACCCATAATACTATTTATATCGTGCTGTGACAAGGCTTTGATGATATCTGATATTTGTTTATATAACTAGTCTACGTCCTTGTTGCTGTAGTCTGTAATAGTAGAGTAAATTTGGATGAGATTGGCATTTACGGGCCTTGCATTAATTTGTAGAAGAGCTATCTTTCCGATATTGGCACAAAGTCGCACAGCATTCTTACAATTTGTTTGTGCACTATAAAGCCAACACCATGTTGGAAAGTGTTGTTTAATGTCCCAGAGTCACATAGAGAATAGTCCTCCTCGTTGTTATTAGCTCCTGTACTCGGCCATCTCATCTCACTAATGCCTAGGATCTGCAGTTTAAGTCGTTTCACCTCTTGAATTGTTTGCACATTCCATGTACCAAATTTCATAGTTTCTAACTTTTTGTACCTCCCGGAGATCCGAATGAGGGACTATATCCGGACATTTGAAATTTTGTCTCGACCATAGCCATCATGATAATACTAGGGAAAAGTCTAAATGAGTCTTTAATGTGTTGGATTCCCATTTGCCTACCACATCCTTATGCCGTTGAACATTTTCTGATTCCTCCGCCTTCCGAGCCGATTTCGCAACTCCAGGACAAAAGAGTGCTCTACCACTTACTAGCTCCTCCATCCGAAGCTTTTGGGCAGTAAGTGGGGGATTGCTTATCCCGGCAATCACTCGGTTCTTCTCGGATCAGTGCCTCGTTAGTTGTCTAGCAGGGTGGACTGAATGACCACCGCAGGTCATCAGAGGAGCAGGTGAGGTTGGCATTTGGGCTGGTCTGTATTCTCCTACCTTCGCCCCTTCCACCCCTATTCTCCATTGCTAGGGTGAATAGCTTGGGTGAGATTGTATCCCCCTGCCTGACACCTCGCTGTACTTGGACTTTTGCAGTAACTCGTTCTTCTTCAATTTTTACGTACATGGTATTATGTTTGTAGATGTATCGTATGATGTTCGTGTATCTGTAATCTATGCGAGCGTTTTTCATCGCATCCAGTATCGCCCAGGTTTCGATTGAATCGAAAGCCTTCTGCGTACGCTTCCATATGATCAGTCGTGCTGTACCTCTTTCTTCACATAAGGCTGCAACTTAAATCTTGTACATCATATAGAAGACACTTGAATTTTTAAACTTTGAAGATTTCAGTCAAATCGCACTTACACCGGATTTTTACGCGCTTCATAAACGCAGATCTAGAAATGGAAGATTTAACTGAACTGCTCACTAGTATTTAAA